TGTCGATTCAAGTATCTATATTAGTCTGCTATACATATTGCTTATATCGCTCATTAAGCTGCCGTACACAATACCCTTTATTTCGTTGAAAATAGACATATGCTATTAAGTTTTATCTAATATAAAAATTCAATCGGCTTAGGTTTCACTTTGTCTGTCCAATTCTGAATCTTTTACATCAAAAGCATGAGTATCATATTGATTGAAAACGACAATAAGATTCTTTCACTCCATGGAAAATGTTAAATTGCAATATTTAGACGAAACAGTTGCAATCTACGAAGTCTCAGAATGATCTATACACTCACATGGCTGAAAAGCCATTCTGCGTTGGTATAAAACGTATTTAATGATATCTACCTTCCTCATTCCACAGTCACTAATGCATAAAAGGTGAGAAAGGGACCGACAAAATCCTGATTCAAGCATATATTCACTTTTTTCTTCGAAAATATGTGTAAATACCACAAAAGTGAATAATCGCCATGTTATTGGTGCATACTATTTTCTGTCTACAGGTATCTTTTATTGAGATTGCAGTATATAAAAATCCATCAGTAAACAATGACTACTTTTATAGTACATATTTGTAGATCGATGGATGATGGTCTTCTTGTCGATTGTATTCCTCCTATACTTTTACAGCCACTCATCCCCGTCTGATAATACCACTAGTCATGACCTGCTTGGCTTTTTCTCGATATAGTGAATACACCACATATTGCTACTTTGATCAGACAGTGGTTCATTCCTGGGATAAAATACATATTCTATCTATTCTGTCTCATCGTGTGCAATTGTATATTTCAACTTTCTCGCTGTACGTTTTCAAAAAATGGTCTATCCAAAGTAGCTATCACGAAAATATGTATTATAATTCTGTTTTTCCATTGATTTTTCAATACTGTTATAAATAAAATGTAGAAATAATTTAATTTCCTCTGAAAAATCCACGAACTCGTCTTAAATAATACTCTTTTTATTTCATTATATTATAATTAAATAATAATATTTTGCTCAGACATCGTGTTATCATAAAAAGGATGTGGGTGGGTGTCAGCGAATCTTCTGTTTCTTTCCTCATCCACACCACACCCAACGTACACCCACACCCACATGCAAACACTCACATCAACACCCTTGTAGTATTGCAATCTTTCAGAACAGCATTGGACGAATTTCCTTACAAAAAAATCATGCAAAGGAAGCTCTTAGATACCAGTGGAAGGTCCTCGAAATACGGGAAAATACATGCTATCCAATCATCCAACAATTGCCTTTAGTCTCCCAGACGTTGATAATGTATACCAGCGCTGGAGTGATCCAGATCAAGCTCTCAAATACCAGTCTCAAGGGCTCAATATTAGACAACAGATTTTACCACCTGATCATCCCTGCATCACATTGAGTCTTCAAAAAGTCAGAGAACTTCATCTAGTGTTACAAAATTTCGACTTAGCTCTTGGATATCTTGAAAACTCGCTTAAGATAAGTGACAAGTCTGCATTCCTCTGTAATAATATGAATAAAAAGCAAATCCTTCACAATATTGCGAAGATTTTCGAAGCCAAAGGCGAATATCGAGAAGAGCTGGAATATAAGTTGAAAGCGATGGATTTTCAACAGAAGATTCATCCAGTAGACTGGGCTTTAGCACGCAGTCTAGACGACATCTTCATCAGATAGGGTGTGAATGTGGGTGTGCTGGTGTGGGTGGATGTGGGTGCGGGTGCGGGTGTGGGCGAATGTGGAGTTTGGGCATGGATATTAGTATTTCTTTTCTCCACCCACACCCACCCACACCCACACCCACACCCACACCCACGCCCACCCACACCCAAGCCCACATACCCACCCACACCCACACCCACACACCCACCCACACCCACACCCTCACGCACACCCACACACCCACACCCACACCCACACCCTCACCCACACCCACACCCCACACCCACCCACACCCACACACCGACACCAAAGAATATTTCTGAGACTCGCGAAATACTATAAGTTGGACACAGCAATATTTCTGTCATTTCGTTTTTGTGACAAACTTCATAGCATCGGTGAGCTCATTTACATGTTACAACTAGACTTCGTTAATCCTGGACATTTGAGTTTGGTGAATTTTAATACTTGTTGACTTCAGTTTGGGCACTTTTTTTCCATCCTCATTTACACATTTTCCAAATATTATCTGATGCACAAATAAAAAAATAAAATAAGGAACTTGTCTTCTATATAAGCATTTACTTAGCCAAAACTGTCAACTGAGCTTGAGTGTTATTTGTGACTAACATCGGCTAATCAGATCATAAACAATCGGCATTAACAGAAAAAATGCAACTGTAGAATCAATCTTCATTAGAAATTATATGGCTTTCTGAATATTTTACATTCTCGAGTACGTATTAATTTATCCTTCTTATATACAAAACACTAGTTCTTCTGAGTTGTGCATCGCCTGTTTACTAACCCTTTTATAATTTGCTATCAAGCGGATTTTTTCCGGTAATAAACTATTAAAGCACATGTGTTTCTAAAGATGTTGACATAGACGAATATGTATACTATATCATAACCAAACAATGAACTTTTTCTTAAAAGTCTTAAATAATTTTACAGATTTGCATAACGCATAGTTAATAACTGTAACAACTATATGAAAATATTGTTGTCTTATTTTTGCTAAAAGGACATTGCAATGGAGCAACTACTTTTTATTGTGCTAATTCGTAGTTTTCGAAAGTCGAAAACTTAATTTCTAACAATCATTCGAGTAATGAAGGCTGGATCAGTGCAGATAAACAGTATGAAGTGTCAGCTATAAGTACACAAAATATTAAGTTGATAACTGCAATTATTACAAGGACTGCTCCTGATCCCTTTTTCTGTCCACTGTGCCTCGCATGGTCGTACTAAGATTAAAAACAAGACACTTGAAATGTATAAAAATGAGAATCTTCAAGCGTTTTAAACATGAGACAATATAAGTGTCTTAAAAATGAGACACGAGAAGCGTCTTATAAAAAATAAGACACTTCAAGTGTAATCTAAATAAGACATTTCATCTTCGTTCATGGACCAAGCTTCGGGTGAGTCTATCATCGTTAAACTAAATATTCTGTATGCTCCGTCAATTGGGTAATTTGGAAGTAAAACAGTATTATCATATCGCTTTGACAATTCAATGGCAACATCAAACATGAAAGAGCAAGACGAAAATCAAAGAATAATCCTGAAAGCTTTCCAACACATCAGGTACGTGCACAAATTGACAAAGTTTATATTTCAGTCTTTGATAACTGTGCTAGGATACTTCTGATTTCTGACCAAGTTCAAGATAATCATAGAGGATGAATTAAGGGCTGTTTAAGTTTATGATAGATTATGTAGAAATCGGAAGATTGCCACACTCAGATTTTCGTGACATTGGTTACACTGCCCAAGAATTTGAAATTTCATCATTGTGCACCTCTTCGATGAAATGAATGTAAGTTTTCTCCAAAGACAAATAGCACACAGTGAGAAAAATCAGCTTTTGTCATCCTCTTCGTTCTGTTTTTATGTATGAATTGTGAAAGCAACAGATCAGGTACATCACACATTATTTGTTTGATAAAGAGGTTTTAGAGCTGAAGATTTGATCGTTCATGAGACTCGTCACTCTATCAACGATGATTGTTACATTTTCTGAAAGATAAAAGACATTCTATCATACCGGCTTATCTCTTGGTTTGTGTTGGAAACGGCCTTAAGTAGCGACTATGGCAATGAAATAGGATTCAATATAACAATCGAAGTCCGGAACAACCACGTAGAGACTTGATACTAGATGTCAGCTAATTGTTTTTATCTCTACACTTTGGTAGACTACATATTTTTCTTTGTAATCATTTATTGTACTCAGCAGATAAATAAACGAACGGTGAAGGAACACCATTTTCATATAAATGAGCGTGGTTTAGCATTGATAAGAGCAAAATATGAAAACTGAGCAAATTGCTTCGTCATTGTGTGAAAATGCGCTGTCTGCGTCACAATTGAGAGCAATTGTGATGACTACAATCGCACTTGTGCATCAAGGTATGTTTGCAGTGCAGCAGCAATAGCGACGCAATCAAATACATGGGTTTTATCTTGAATAAATAACTCGTTTCTTCGTTCGTTCGATTCTTTATACTTCGATCTTTTTTAAGTAGGTTTTCTTCGAAAAAGCAATCTGGCTGCACGTATGCTTGTTATGCATACATTATTCCTATACACAAAACAAGTGCAGACAACAAACGTTTCTGATCGGGTGTCATGTCTGATATAATACAATTCAATTACAAAGATCATTGGCAAGAAAAAGAAATTAATCTTGAAAGAGTTTGTAGTATTTCTTTTGTGTATTTACTGTGATCTTCTTTCTTTGTTTATTCAAAGTCAAATGTCGGTAACAAATCATTAGGATTCACTATTTCTGGGGGTATTGATATACCCTTTGTTAATCATCATTTTACATCTATTGTTATTACACATATTACTGAAAATGGTCTTGCATATAGAGATAAACGATTAAAGTAAGTTTGCATTCTACCAATGGTCTATTTTAATCATTAGACTATCATTTCAGGTTATATGATATAATATTACGTGTAAATGATATCGATTTTACAAACATTAAATATCAAACAGCTGTTGATATATTGAGAAATTCAGGACAGAAAATTCAATTGGTGAGTAGTACGAGATGAATTTGTAAGATCTTCTATTATAAATTCTTCTTTCGATCATTCTATTCAGCTGATACGTCGTCTATCACCACCAATTAGCGAAGAGATCGAACTAGAACATAATGGAAGATTAGGCATTTGCATTGGTGGTGGAATTGGAAATAACTATTTTCGAAAGTAACTACTGATGATGATTTTACTTTTTCTCGGTCATAATATTTTTATGTTTTTGTCATTTAAGAGATCATGGTATATTTATTACAGATATAGATAAACAACAAACGAATAAACAATTAGATATAGGTGATCGATTATTACAAATTTCATCAACGGTAAAATAACGGCGTTCAGTTTATTTTATATAAAGATTGTGTTTGTAATGTTTTGTTTCTACCAGTATAACACTTACGATTTACGATTTGTTACACATGAAATGGCAAAAAAATATATACAGTTAGCATGTAAAGAAAGTCAAAAAATTAAACTATATGTCGGACATACACGACCTGGTGTTCAAGTGTAAGTTCTAATTCAAACAGATTCGTTTGACTTTGAAAACTGTAGAAACACAACGCATCTGTCTCCTATCTCTTTTAGACAAAAAAGAACTGTTTTACGTCAAGGTCAATATGACCCTCTTGGCTCAAAAGACGAAGGTAGTGTATGTGTACTTCTCATTTTGTGCATGCTTATTTTATCTTTTCATTCATGTCTTTTCTTCTAACAAGACTCTGTTCAAGTCAACGAAAACAACTATTCATTTGTATCTGCTAAAAACCACCACGTTAAATTTGAAGATGATAATGTAAATCATGAGATGAATGATAATTTAATAGTATCATTCGATTTCGACGGTACGCACAAGAAAGGAGTTCGAACATCTAGTTCCTATGTAGTCATTTTAGATTACCAGAGATATGAAAATCGTGGTAAAGTCCTTAAAAATCGCTTGTTAAATGGTCAAAATACTAACAGTTCAAAAGTATTACTCACAGAAGATCGAAAACGACTACATCCTGTCAGGTAAGTGTAAAATCGAGAAAAGATAGTCCACTTCAAGAATATTTCCTTTTCTATAGTGCTTCATCATTAGCTTTGCCTGTTATAATGTTTAAAAAATGATTTTATAACTCATTATTAGGTTTGCAGCAGCAACGACAGTGACAGAGTTTAAAACTGATCCTCAAATGAATGCCGATAGTGGAAAATGTAACGACAAAGATCAACATCGAAATGTTGAAGTGAGAAGTATTTCAGGTTTTTAGTCTAAATCACTCCTATCAGAATTGATTTGTTTCACTCGAATTTTAAAAAATCTAAAGAATTTTTATGTAAACAATGCAAAACAAGAAACTTTCATTTACATATTGCAGTATATATTTATTTTTGTTCATCTTATTTTCCAAATTAGTTTGAAAGCTTTTTCATAGGTAAATGACTCTCGTCAGAAGGTTCTTATTGAACAGAGAGCTTCACAACAATTGAAATTGAAAGAAGCAGCGATACGTAAGCAACTGATTATCAATCTAATTTATCTCTTTTTTGTTTCTGTCTGTCATATTTTCTTTCTAGGTGATGCTTACGAGGCAAAACTAAGACGTCAACAAAGTAAAATTAGTCAACAAGCACGTCGTAATAGAGAAGATGTGATATTGAGAGTAAGTAAGAATTATTTGGCAGTTATATAATACATAAACAATGATTTGCTTATTTTTATTATGCTAGTGGCAAGTTGATTAAATTATCATATAAATGAAGCTGGTACAGGCTTGAAAAACCACAGACAACAAGACTCGCACGACTAAGGTGCAAACAATGAACTATCTAAAGTCTTTTAATTTTTCTCACTATACGATTTTTTGCCAATAATAAATACGAATGGTTCTCATTTATGATGCAGAATACCTTATACGTTCTCTCTTGAAGATCAAGCATTCGTTGATTCTGAAAATTATCTTACTTAGTAAAAAGTTTTTAGCCTCAGTGTCTTGTAATTTAACCCTTTGGTTCCCGACTTTTTTTTGCGAAAATCAAAGTTTTTAAAAGTAATGTCTATATATGATTTTTATTTTTTTTTTTCGTTTTCTCAAAGCGGCCATAGTGAAAATGTATGAGGTTGATTGTTGGACTCGATGGTTATTATCCAAGGAAGAATGTTTTTTTTTATTCGTTCTTATTGTTATCTTTTATTTATCCGAACGATATATACATATATATCCCCCTGGACAAAAATAGTTCGACAAGGTATTTTCAATAAATTATTACTATAAATTAACCTTTTTGAAAAAGTAAGGATTTATTGGGATAGCCCGAAGAGTTCTCTACAAAACTATATATAAACATTTTGGATTGCAATTCTCCTTAAAAAACAAATTCACGTACAATAAAGGCACCCTCATGTTCAGATTTCCAAAAAAAAATTTTTTTTTAATTTTCATATATTTTTTCAATTTTTTTTTTAATTTTCATATATTTTTTCAATTTTTTTTTCAATATAGAAACAATTTATTACAAAAATAACTACATAATATACGAGTACATCAAAGTCTCTATCAACCTATACTTTCCCAGCCATTATTAGATATGATTTGATTACAAATAGTCGATATGTGATTAATATATCCACGTATAGCATTTTGAGGAATTGCATTCCATGCTTGTTTAACTAATCTTTCTAAATGCTGTTGAGAGCGTGGATGATTTCTTTGGACATACCGATTCATCCATGACCATACACTCTCAACAGCATTTAGATCCGGACTAACTGGTGGATAGGTATCCGTACATCTAACACGATTATTACGTAGCCAGTCATGTGCCAATCGAGTATGTGCCCATGTCGGGCGATCATGTATGAAATAATATTGTCTTAAACGATTCAAATGTGCATCCAGTGCAGCTTCTAAGTATTGAACATATGTTGTAGTATTAGTACAATCATGAATAACCACTAAATCTGACCGTCCATCATACCATACTGCTCCAAAAACAGCAACACGGTGTTGAACCTGAGATTGGAAATGTGTTGGTCTTCGACGACCGTTTGGAATATAATAAACAAGACCAGAAACGTCAATTTCAAATGCTTTTTCGTCGCTGAATATGACCTGATGACATCGATCAGATGCGTGTGATAAACAGAAATTTAATCCTTGTTGTGCACGTGTTGCACTAATTCTTGGTTGAGTTCGTGGATGTACTGGATGAAAACCCAAAGATAAACGATAACGTCGAATAGTTCGAGGATTAACATTAAGGCCAGTTCGTTCAAAAAATCGATTAGCAATACTTGTCGAAGTTTCATTGGGATATCTAAAAAGCACCTGTCTTAACGTATGAATTTCATTATCATTCAACAGCATATGACGATCTCGTCCATCACGTTCGATAACATCGTTGGTTTCTTGATATAAATTGATTATATTGTAAACTGTTGAAACATGACAGGGAATATGATGAGCTATCGTGTGTGCATTTAGTCCTTGATCGAACTTTAACGAGACAATACGCCAACGATCACCAACAGATAGATGATCATTCATTGTAATTCAACAATTTTCTTGAAGGCAGTAAAAATGAATAACTACGTGGTTTATGAACGTTTTAATAACACTAGGTTATAAACTAATGTATGTAACTAAACTGTATTCTCGAGAAAATAGAAAGAAAAACGAGAAGTCAAAGAATGGTGTGTGGGATGTGGGTGTGGATGAATGAAGGGAAGACTCACATCCACACCCATCCACACCCACCCCCATCCCACACCCACACACCACCCACACCCACACCCATTCTTAATAATTAATAGTGCTGAATATAATTACTTTTCGCAGTTTACAATATTGGTTACGATGTCGATTGATTTGGGAGTTGGTATAAATTTTAAACCTTTTGATAAGACTTGTAAATGTTGTTGGTTTAATTGTATTTTCGATATGTTAACTACATTTGTAGTGTCATATTTTATTTGAGATTTGGTCTTTGTCATTGAAGCATGTTGTTTTGATTCATTTAATTTTTGTTTTTCTTTCAATCGTTAAGTTTCTTTTTATGTGTTATAATCAAATCATTTTTAAACTTTTTATCGTATTTGTTCATCCATCTTAAATCGTTTTGATGCTGTCTTGATGGATGAGTTGATGTTAACTAATAATTTAGGATTGTGTTTTGAGTCTTGGTCTCAATACAGTCGCATGGGGTAATTCGGATCAAAATTTTAAAAATTCATTTTGTTTTTCTTCGTTCTTCTTTATTTTACGTAGTATAGAAGTGAGTTTTCGATCACAAGTAGAACAAAGTGTGCTCTATCAATTGACGAAAGAATCTCTGAAAAATCATGTACTGTAAAAAAGTATGATCAAAAATACAAGAGGCAGTATACGAGGTGATCCGAATTACCCCATGTGGGGTAATTCGGATCACCTAAGCAATTTAGGTCGGGGTAATTCGGATCATTACAGCCAAAACAGCTATACCCTATTTTCCCCATCTCTTAACTCAATTTTTAGCTTGTCGTAAAAAATAACCAAATACACCATTTAATAGCCCAAAGTCTCTACTATGGAACCTGAAGATATCTCGATGATCGAGTATGACCTTACAGATGAAATATTCGCAACATTGACACCTATATCTATCATTTTTTAAAATTTAAAAATGAACTCGGGGTAATTCGGATCACTCCAGCAATTTTACTCGGGGTAATTCGGATCACTCCGGCTATTTTAGCTGGAAGTAACTTATGAAACCTCTACTGCTTTTACAATACATTATCGACTCGTACTCCTGAAACAAAAGTTGTTCATCTTTTTTTGCTCTATCATGCCCATGCAAAATAACATGACATTGAACAAGGTCGATCAAGTATTTTTTTTTATTTTTGAAATGATGAAAAAAAGGCTACTTTTCTATGATATACCTTATAGTATTTATCATATTATTGCAAAACAATAATACATCCAAGAAAAAATAAATTTGGTGCTTCAGATTCAGAATTGTTTGGGCTACAAAACTGTATAAAAGAAAACGTCCTAAGAGTTGTCATCGTAAACTATAGTGTCATAAATAATCTCATAAAACAGCATAATTTTATGAAAGTTTGTGTTTTAAGCATCTTTATCATCATCGTCGAGGCAATAACGATTTCAAAAATTATATTAATTATTTCTTGTAATGAAGAACTATTCCATTATAGTGTTTTGTTATCTTGAAACTGTTCGAAACTAATAATTCTAGTTGAGAGTACTTTGACATTTTCACAGTTACAACTAACATTCTGAAATTTTTTCATTTTTTTAAATTTAAAACGAAAAACATCTAGACTATACTTAACTGACATAGTGAGAAAAAAATCGTTATTTTGTTATGCTTTTCAGGCAGTTTATGCATTGAATATTGTAGCCAGATAAGTAAAAAGAAGAAGAAAAATTATTGTCTTTAATATATGCGTATGTTTCCTTTTCTTTGTTTTTCCTTCTTTCTGCCTCTTACTTTATAGAAATGCTTTTGTTGAAGGGATCCTCTGAGAAAATCCAATTTTTCGGGGATAGTCGAGGTTGAGATTTTGTCACAGGAAGATGTACAGAAGTCTTCTTCTTCAGAATATCTACGGTTTATCGAAAACCGAATTGATTTTGAAGAACTTATCCTCTAAAACTTGGTTCCAACTGTCATATTTTTCGACAATTTTTTACAGTTTTTTATTTCAAGCTATTTCGACTTTTAGGCTGCTTTCTCTTTGCATCAGCATTTCCTAAAGTTCTTTTAAAAACTAATCACTAACACTCTATCAAAATTTAATATTTGGATCACATATTTATATCCTGTCTTGAACATTTATATATAAATCAAATGATTTTTCGGAGAAATTGATTTCTAATGCTTATTTTCCGCTTTTCTCAAAACCAGTTGTTTCGAGCTTGCAATTTACGCGGGCAGATTTTTCTCCGT